ATTTTTTTTCCTTTGATTTAAATTAAATTTAAATTTGGACAAGGGAATGACTTCTATCCAAAATATAGAAGGAGAAAGCCAGAAGATAGAAGTCACATCAGCAAGATCATTGAGTAATATTGAAATGCGTCATTTTTCTCCTCAAATTATAATGATTTAAAATCAATCATCATTTTCTTACAAAAATAATGTGTGACTTGCCACAAGGCACAGGTAATTTAGCTAGTATACTATAATACTATACTAATATCTAATATTCTCTAGAGTTATAATTAAAAGGAACATTGCTTATACTGATAGAATATAATATCTTTTTTCATGCAAGCATGAATTTCATTTCAAAGGATAACTAAGAGAAGTTGAAAAAACTTTTTTACCATTTGAAATATTCTGATTGGTGAGGTTTCATAACATTTTCTCTCTATGCTGACTGTGGTTGGCTTTAAAAAGTCAAATGATTGGGTTATAAATCCTTCTTATTTTTCTATGTGCAGTATCCTTTTAAGACATAGGCAATCATTGTTCTTCACAATTTTCTCTGCTGTCCCTTGTAGCTCTTAATAAAGTTTCTATTTTTGCTATTACTCCTAATTCCTGTTCAGCCAAATATTTACACAATCTCATTAGGTAAGTTATGCACTGCTTTCCTCTGTTATTTTTGTCTTTAATAATGTCCTGTGAGTGTCAAATTTTCTAAACACTGTTTCCTCATTACATGCCCTAGAAATTTCAAATCTCTTTCTGGTTCTAAGAGTCCTTTTTGTTTCCATTTTCTCTAAAACTTCATTGTGGCTCACATGTTGAATCCATTGTATTCTCAGTATAACTTCTTTAACCACATTTCTGTTGCCTCTTCTTCATCTGTGATGAGGTTTTTCAGTATTCACTGTCATATAGGAGGATCAATATCACATAACAGTTCAGTATTCTTTTCTTTGTTTCGGGTCATTATTATTATCTCGTATTTGAATATTCACACATTCTGAATGATTCTTATCCCTGCATTTGAAATGTTATACAGAGAAGGATTGGCTCAAGGTACTGGGAACTTGGCAAGTCACCCATCAAGGCTAAGGTTTCCATCATAAAACCATGTCATGTGTTTGAGATCTTCCAAAACTAATGTTTATAAAAACATACTTGTAGTCATCCATGACTCAAGACTGATTAAAATCTTTGGCTATTTTGTCAATAGAAAATGATCATGTAAAGAAGATAGGTGTACAAAGTGCCATCAAAAGATTTGCAGATCTAAAGGCTAGAAAAATGTTTCAGGTAGGATAATGAATTTTTTTTTAGCTTGTATTAAGTTGTATATTATAATAAACTCATTATTCTACATTTTCAGTCTTTATTCTTGTGAAAATAAGAAAAATTATACTTGTAAGGGGATCAGAGTTCAGCTTGTCCAGGGTGCCAGCAACCCTAGGTTCATTACTGGAAGAATTTACTCAAAATAAATGATGACAAACCAAAGATTATGGATGGTATATCTGCTTAAATTCAAACCTGTGAAACTTGACTTTTTAATCTCACGAAATAAATGATTAAGTTAATATATATTTCAAAAAATGTACAATGCCATACAAAATTATACAAGTATCATATAAAACATACAATACCATCAGTGTAGAATGTAGCATTTGCAGCATCTGGTTTGGTCATAGAATTTGTTTCCCCTTTAAACAATATTCCAAAATTGGGTAGCATGTAGAAAATATAAAGGAAGTTTGCAATTAAAGTCAACCATTTTGTTTTGGTTGCAGACAAGAAAAAAAGAACAAGAAATGGGATAATTTTAAAAGTTAACTTTTCTTAAATCACACCAAAATGTATTTTATGGAATGGGAAGAAAAATAGCACAACTCAATTTGCATGCTATTTCATTATTCTAATTCACCAAAATACTGCCCCAGAAAAACTTAGATCAGTCCACATTGCGTACCAATTTAAGTGCCTGCCAATGTTTACCATACAATAAACTAGCAGAAATATTTTCAAGTTGCTTAATGTGATAAACTGTAATATTAGCCATTGTGTACACTCACTATATCAGACATAAAGTCCAAAAATGTCATAAATGAAGATCACTTTCTGCAATTATAATTGATTACAGCTTGACAACACCACAGTGATTCGTATCAACAATGCTAAGAATCCCAGTGACAAGAAGATGAGAGACCTGAGTACTAAGGTGGGTATTACATCAAAAGAATTTTCATTCTCCTAGACAGATACCTTGTCGAAGACTTGGCTAGCAGCACACTTGAACATCAACCCAGATATTTCTATATACCCACACACAATAGATACATACATAATACCCTGTTACTCTTGTTTTACATGTACACACATCTGCTAGGGTGGCTAGCCAATCCCTATTGTAGATGCCTGCTCAAGCACTTTTTTATTTGTTAAAAACCCACAGAACCCAAGTGTGGTTTATACTGCAACTATGCTGAGCAGACCTTAGTTACAGTCTCTGAGATAGAGAACATAATCCGGCAGTTTGAACAATGTCAGTAAACTCAAGCACTCAATCACAATGACTTTTTACTAGCACAACTATGGACAGCTTCTGAAAAGTTTGGTTTACCCAATTTCATATATAAGGCTGTTACCTGTTGTTTGATTTTTAGCTACTTTACAAAGATTCCACATACTGGAATCACCTCCTCAGTCACCTTCCAGACAAATCGACTATGAAGAGATTTGAATCTGCATCACATAGTTGGTTGGTTGTTTTTTTTTTAATTTTTGTTTAGTGGCATATCAACACCTGTATTGGTTATTTAATGCAGAAATCTAAATATGAAAATTCAAACTTCATAATTAATTCATATAAAATTAATGACATTATTTCATGATTAAATAATAATTACTTAGCTGAATTTTTTTACCAAATAATGATTCAAAATCAAACCAGGAGTAAAAGTTTGTTTCTCCTTACAAGAAATGAGATTAATCATTGTAAAGTATTTTTTTTTAATTTTATGACAATGTTTACCATGATTTCAATTTTACTATAAAATGTATTGATCACCATTTTGCTATAAAAATGTATTGTTCATCATTTTATTATGAAATGTATTTTAAGAATGAACCCAAAATGCAAATTACAGGTATGCAATACTAAAATCAAACAGGTACAGAAATTTAAATATCTGGGAAGTCTTCTAACAGAGGATGGAATGTGTGACTCTGTGATCCAAAGACGTATTGTATGGCCAAAGCTAAGCAGTGTATTAAGAGATAGAAAACTTTTGTTGGGAACAAAGAAAAGAGTACTGAACTGTTATGTGATACCTGTATGCCAGCAAATGCTGGACAATCTCTTCAAATATGAGGAAGAGACTTGGAGTAACAGAAATGTGGTTCTACAGAAGATGCTGAAAATCCCATGAACTGAGCATGTGAGCAACAGTGAGGTTTTGGAGAGAATGAAAACAAAAAGAAAACACATACTTAACATCAGGAAGAGGCAATTGAAATTTCTGAGGCATGTAATGAGGAAGGAGGACTTGGAAAATCTGATACTCACAGGACAGAGGGAAAGAGGGACAGAGGAAAGCAGCATGTAACATACTTGACGGACTTGAGCAAATGGATGGCAGAACAAGTTATTGGAGAAATAACAAAAAGACAAAACATATTCAGAGTTACAATTGACAGGAATATGTGGAGGACCATGATCATCTATATCCTGAAGGGATATGGTACATTAAAGAAGAAGTTAGACAATTCTACTAAAAAATATGGAACACTTTGCACATTTGTGTCATCCTTGCACAGGAGCTATGCTAATTTCTGTATCATTTCAATTTTAGTATATGTACTGCCATAGTAAGTGCAGATCTCAAAGTTAAAAAGCAAATGTTCAAATCACTTGGTTATGAACTTATACATGCATACATATTATAATGCACTCAGTAAATTTTATGAGGTCATCTATGCCCTACTTAGGAATTTATTTAATTATTTTTTTTTTGTAATTTTTGAATTTGTGATGCAAAAACAACAAAGATCAAAATTAGCATTGACCTGTGAGTTTTTAATCATGTTGAAGATAGGAATTGGGTTCAGATCAAAAATAAACATTTGGATTTCTAATATAATGTCTTTTAAGTTCTTTTTGCTTAAAAGTATTTTTATTTGTGAACAAAAAAACAGAAACAACAAATATGAAAAGAAAGAAATGGCAAAAGAATAGAAAAGAAGGAAAAAAGAAAGCAATAAAGAAAGAGAAAATGAAAACCAAATATATCCTAAATGTAATGAGAAAGGACAATGAAAGAAATTCAAAAGAAAAGTACAAAGAAAGAAAACAAAAGTAAGAAAAGAAAGAAATTCAAGAGAAATGTAAAAAAGAAAGAAAAAGAAGAAATTCAAAAGAAATGTAAAAAGTAAGAAAAGAAAGAAATTCAAAAGAAATGTAAAAAAGAAAGAAAAAGAAAGAAATTCAAAAGAAAAGCAAAAAGAAAGAAAAGAAAGAAACTCAAAAGAAATATAAAAAAGAAAGAAAAGTAAGAAATTCAAAAGAAATGTAAAAAGTAAGAAATTCAAAAGAAATGTAAAAAAGAAAGAAAAGAAAGAAATTCAAAAGAAATGTAAAAAGAAAGAAATTCAAAAGAAATGTAAAAAAAGGAAAAGGAAGAAATTCAAAATAAAAATAAAAAGAAACAACAATGGGAAGAAATTTGAAAGAAAATTGCAAAGAAAAAAGAAAAAGCAAGAAATGAAAAAAAGGAATTGAGAAAATGTAAGTAAAAGAAAATGAAAATCATGATAGCCAAAAAATAAAAGTATCATAGAAATGAGGGTGACACCAGGCCAAGTCCAGCACTTTATTCCCTTTCCTGTCTCCTTCCTTACAAAATAGGGCCACAGACTTGAGGGTACAGGTCTTGCTAAAGCAGACTTATGGGACAGCTCTTCAAAATTATAACAGGCATCTGACTGCGTTGTTAAATGACCAATTCCTTTTCTTATGTTTTTGTGAGATGGTGGGTTTGAAGATGTCAGGAGGAATTTTGAAAAATTGGCCACATTGCCAACCAATCAGTTTTCTTTGAAAAAACATTAATCCTAAATAAGAAAATGATTGAAGATTGAGGACCTGTGAAAGGAATAAGAATTACTCACTTGTTTTATATCTTTATTTTTTTTTTTGTATCACATATTGCTTCCCAAGTTTCAATTATTTCTTTCTTTAGCATTAATTTTTCAATTCCTTTTTCTCTTTTTTGACTCAACATTGATTTTCTGTTTTTCCTCAAATTTTTTGTTTTTTAATAGTATTTCTTCTTTTTAATTTTTTACACCTCCCAACTCTCATTTCTTTCAGTTTTTGTATTTTTCATTCTTCCTTTCTACCTCCTCCATTATCAATTTCTTTATTTATTTCTGTCTTATTTTTTCCTTTCTTGCTTCTTTTTAATATCAACATATTTCCTTTCTTTTATTTTCATTGTCTTTGTCTTGATTATTTCTTTTTTCCCTTTCTTTGTTTTTGTTTGTTTCTTTTTTGCTTTACTTTTATTCTTTTTCCTTTTGTTGTCTTTTTTCATTTTCTTCTTTCTTTTCCTGTCCTTGTTTCTGTTTTTAATTTACCTTTTGGTTTTTCTTTAGCTTTATCTATTTATTTTACTTTATTTCTTTCTTTGTCATTCTCGTTTTTCTTTTTGGTTCTTTCTTTTCTTTTTTTTGTTTTACTTTTTTGTTTCTTTTCCTTCATTTATGCTTCTTATTTTATTTTTATTCACTTCTTTTTTTCTCATTCATCATTTTTTTCTTCTTTCATTATCATTCTTTCCTTAGACATTTCCATTTTATTTCATTCATTTCATTCCAGTTTCTTTCTTTGTGTTTATTTCATCTTTTCTTTTTTGTTAATTCTTTCATTCACGTATGCTTCTTTATTCTCCCTCTTTCTTTTCTATTGATTTCTTTCATTCTGTCTTTCGGTTAAACTGTTTACTGAGTATTTTATTTGAATATTTTCCTTCCCTTCAGTTTTTATTTTGCTTTTATTTATTCCTTTTCTACTTTATCTTTTAACTATTTTTAATTTCATTCACTTCCCCAGACTCTTTTGCCAATTTCATTCTCTCTTAACATCATTTGTCACTTCGGTTTTACATCCCACAGGGTTCTGGAATCTGCATTAACCCCCCACTATCTATGTTCCTTATGGGTCTAGGAACACACAGAGCAGCCGTTTGGATCCTGGCAGGGTGCAATCTAAATTTTAGCTGTAGACCAAACAAATTGTCCAGCCGTTGCCTGATGATGCCTCATGCAGGTGTCAATCAAAACAAAGTGCGTATGGATGGCTTTGAGGTGTCCACTATCATTCTCTCCTTATTACAGTCACCAAGGCATCATTTTCTCCCTTTATCCGACCTACAGACGTTCATTCTTTCTCTTTTTGTCATATGCTTCCTTCTGTGATTGATTTTTGAGTCCACAAGGAATATTACATTATATATATATATATATATGTGTGTGTGCGTGTTTTGTAGAGAGAGGAAAAAAGAGAATAGGGTCATTAGGCATATTCTGCAGATTAAATATTATATATGAAGGATGTAAAAAACAATTACTGCAAAGATTGATGCATTCAGATGGTCAACAATGACAGGCATGCCACTCCTTGCGAACAATATGGTGACTTCTGTTGTCAGGTCCAATGACCATTTTCAGGATTCTTTGTCTGTGTCCAAAGCCAATACCAATTCAAAATACAAAGCTGTAAAATACTTTCCTTATTCTCCATTTATAAATAACCAAGAAATATGTTTTCATTATTATTATGTACTCAAAGTTGTGTACTGATTAGCAGAAAAGAAAATGAATAGCTATCTTCAGTGCAGTAGATTGTGGGTGAATCATATAACAGTTTTGTTTTTCTTTGTAAGTTCTAAAAGATGTAGCCTTGTGGCATACTTGCATTTTTCCAAATTTTTTATAAGTTTTCAAAGATAATATATATACAGCAATGTGCTAGCAATGATAGCTGGCATTGTATCAGTCAAGACACTTTCTTTTGCTATGATACACTATGTTTCTTTGTTTGCGATATATATGGTGTGTGTGTCAGAAAGCTTCATCAGTGATTTTTATCCATAGTATCATTGGAGCTTTGTGGCTTCCAAAATATCATATCAGGTGACCCAACTAGGAAAGATCACCTCCTGCTCAGCTTTCCAGCCTTTTTTGGTTGAATCCAGAAAATTTGGTTATGTTTGATTATCTTGGAATTCAGTCAATGTAAAATGGTTTTATTGTTTTTGCAGTCGGCATTTGCCTATTTAATATAGTTGAATTTTTCCTGCCAATTTATTCCTACTTGATAGGTAAGTTGATTTATCTTATATGGATGTTGTTATATTATTTTCCTTAGGTATTTGTTACATTTTGTATTATTTATAAAAAAACAATTATGTCAGTGTAATAATATTAGGGGGTTTTGCAGCAAATATTCGTGTTCATGTGTGAAATTTTTTTTAAATTGCTAATGCATAATTGAACCAAGAAATAAATTTAATTAAATGAGTTCAAGTGAATTATATCTAAATTCTACATCTAAGTAATAAGTTGTTATTGTAAGAATATGAACAATGGAATTTGAAGTGAATGGGCATCTTTTATAACACTCCAAGAAGTGATGTATTTTTAAAGAAAAATAAAGGAAGTGATATTTATTTATTCAATTATTCTTTTTTATTATATTATTATATTTGTTTATTTTCTATTTATTAAAAGAAACATTTTATTTAATTGTAATAGTCTCTATTTATTCTTTAAGTTAAATGGTTATACATACATTGTTGTTTAAAAAGTATCATTCGATGAGCTTATTTTATTAAAGACACGTTTACTAAAATTACACAAAAATATCTTTAAATACTAAAATGTAAAATTGCAGTTGGTTTCAACCACAGCCTCTAGACGACTTCAGAATCTCCTGCAACTATTCTGGACAGTCTTCTTGTTTAATTTGGTGAATGCTGCCATAATCCTTGCCTTCAGTTCATCTTTGGTGTTACAAGGAGTTTTGTTGGTCTCTCATTGAACAGTTCCCCACACATAATCAAGAGGGTTGCAGTCTGGGGAGCTAGGTAGCCAAATCCTTTGCACTGCCCTCAGATTGGCACCCAAACATTCTGAAACATTCATATTAAAGCTTCTGGCATCAATGCCAAGCAGTAAAGCATGCTGTTTTCAAATTTCTGGAAGAATGAATTGTGTCATGTGCTCTTTTTCTCACAGATGTTGCCCAACTGACCCTACTATACTGTACAGTTAACAAAATCAAAAACAAACAATGCGCATGCTTGAAATTAAAAATACAAAATGGCAACAGTTGACCCATAGCACCCTGTATATAATGGCAATTATTTTCTCTTATTATATATATATATATTTTATTATTTATTCATTACTTTCTGTTACTTATTATTTAACTATATTTTATTATAATAAGAGTAAGGTATATTTGACAACAATTTGTTTGTTCTAATGTCCAGTATAAAATAAAAAAATTGGTGAGAGATAGCACCTCTGACAGAGGAAGAAATCATAATTTTTTGGGAGTGGCTCATACATGTTGGTTGCCACGTAGCACCCAGCTCTCCTTTGTGGCTCCAAATAGCAGTTTGTATACAATAGCAATCACACCCTGGTAAACTGCTTCGACTGGGGGGCAAACCATCTGAGAACAATCGATGAGTCCAAACTCATGATAATTTTGAATATGTCAGCCTAATTGCATGTGAAGAGTGATTCCCAATAGAGTGGTACTTTCTCCCATTTCAAATGAGGAATGCTGCCATAATCCTTGCCTTCAGTTCATCTTTGGTGTTACAAGGAGTTTTGTTGGTCTCTCATTGAACAGTTCCCCACACATAATCAAGAGGGTTGCAGTCTGGGGAGCTAGGTAGCTAAATCCTTTACACTGCCCTCAGATTGGCACCCAAACACTCTGAAACGTTCATATTGAAGCTTCTGGCATCAATGCCAATCAGTAAAGCATGCTACACTTTGATCCCAGTCAAAATAGATAAGATAATATAAAGTGCAACAATAATGTTTATGTTTTCATTTGGCAATTGATTGTTGTTAATCATTAGAGGATTATTATACTTATCGGTGTGGATATTGTTGGATATCGGTGTGGATATTGTTGGATCTTATAATTCTGTAAGTAATAAATCACAGACTATAAAATGGTGTTAGCAAAATTCCTTTCATTAAAGCAATTTGATGGATTTATTTCATGTACAGCATGTTATATTAGAATTCATAATATTTGTTGGATTTTCAAAATATGCTGTTAAAAATAACAACATTGATTATGTTCTTTAATATATTCCTTCCTTACTTTTACTCTCAAGCTGTGTTCTAAATACTAAGAGTGTTATCACACAGGACAAAAATGCCTATATTTGACTAACTTGGTAATTTAATTATAAAAGCTGTCAACAAAACAATCACTTAGTTATAAAGATCACCTGTGAATAAACATTTGAAGGAATACAGTATCCATTATAATTTTTCTTATTTATACAAGCTTTATAGACAAGTTCATCATACTTGAATTGATGAAGAAAGAATAACTGGAAAAGTAAATGTATAAAGCAAATCTGTTATTGAAATATTCATCTTTTAAGAGGTGGAAATACTCAAATGAACTCAAAAGTTTAACATTTACAATCCAGGAGTGTATGAATGTGCATGTAATTAAGTTGTACTGTATTTCAATTAACACTTGTCATATTATCAACTGAAAATCTACAATTTTTAAAAGTTGATAACCAGTAATAAAAAGGATAGATACCTCATAATCTATAATACCAAGAAGGCTAAATTTGGTATCATATAAAATGTTATATTGTTTTTCAATTTTTTTTTTTTTTTTTTGATAAATTGTACTAACATCACATATTCAGATTTTTTCAAGAATTTGGTCAGGACTTCAGGGATTTAAAATCTCTGAAGTGCTGATTGGGTTAAAGTTTACTAAAGAGCATTACAATTTTTTTCTTTTTTTCATAAGTCCAAAAATAAAGTTTATCTCCACTGCTTATAAAGTAATGAGTCAGGCATTTCTTGATGCTTTCTATTCTTTCATTACAAAAAGCCAAATTTTTAAGGTGAGTACATTAAAAGAGCAACTCTTTACATTCTATTTTATGTGCATATATATATATATATATATATATATATATATATATATATATAGAAAGACATTTGGATTACTAACAACAAAAACAGAGAATGTCTCATATCGAGAATATTTAACATTGAAAAACATAAGGAAAAAATTAATTAATTAATAATTATAAATTCTTGAACATAACATTTTTTAGTACTTGAGGTCATAACCAAGAAGCTTTAAGCTAAAGAATATATTTACATGAAAATTCTTCACATTTTTAAAGCTGAGTTCTACAGAAGGATGCTGAAGATACCATGGACCAAATAAGTAAGCAATGACAAAGTTCCCTGCAAAACCTATCCAAGTGCTGACTGCATAAGTGAACACCTGCTTTTTACATGTAAACTTAGAATGAAGATACAGAAATTGAAGAGGCCTAATACAACACTCAAATTGCAATGCAACACACTCTTCTACAACCCAAAACTGAAGGAGAAATATGTGGACTGAGGTATCTCATTTAAATATGAAGTCACAAAGACTATAAGTAGCTACAGCTATTACCCATGAGGCAGTTAAGAGCATACTACTTCCTGTGAGTCAGTAACACTACACTACAATGGTGTCACTGAATCTAAAGAATTGAAAGAACAATTATCACTTGATAATTATGCATATGCACAAGTGTGGCTTAGGTTACTAGCAGCTAAAGCTAGAATGAAAAAACTACAGGATTTAAAATCAGTCAGAGAAGAAAACCAAATAACTGAACTCTTCTTGGCC